GGCAAATAATGGATACTGAAAACATCTAACTCTAAATCGTAAAAAATGAGATATCGATGGCAACCATAAACCTTAAAACATGCATCACACTAAACCGTGTGTTGTAAATTTATCTGTCATCTCTAGATATCTTTCATAGAAATCGTGATAAAGGATATATGTTTTCTTTTTTCCAAATAGCATGCAAACATGCCACAGTTAGTTAGCTACCCTGACGGCTTGTGTTTCCCAGGAAAGTAAATAAATAACCATACTGAGGTGTCGTAATTGTTTTCTAAAATGTTAATGGTCTATATAAACCACTGCTTTTTAATTATAACATATTTTTGGACATTTATACTTCGGTATCAATCGACCAAAAGAAAATATCGAGACACTAAACACTCTCGATTATAATCTGTAAATTTGTCTTTGTTTTATGTTGTAAAAATGTAACTTTTGTAATGTTTTGTGTCTTGATAAAGGGGCAGAATGCCTCGAAAATTTACCAATTTACCTTTCCGTACTGTGCAGTGTTAAGCATTCTTCATTAGGCCCTCTGTGGTATTGGTTAAAACACGTACACATATCGGGCAGACATACCGAAAGTTGGAAATTTGGCAAAAGAATTACTCATTTCCCCAACCTCACCTCTAAAGGGAGCCTTAAACTCGAGTACATTTGGAATTTTAAAAAAATAGCATTTTTTCACTGTAGTTGAGCCGTAAAGTTCTGTTTAGTAAGTGGTAATTTTCAGAGGCCCTCCAAGCAGTTCTTTAAAGAACAACAAGGAGATACAGATCCATAACAACAAAATTGTAATTCAAATTCAAACTCGATAGCACGAGGGCATTATGTGAACAAAATTGCTATCTGGTAAGATAAGTGCGTCATTGATAAGATCCGCCATGTGAATTTTTGTCAATCAAGTAATGACGCATTCTCAAATGAGAACAAGGTTGACAACAACATCGAAACTACCAGGCACACAAACAAGCATCATGCACATCTAACATTTAGTTATGTGCAAACTATTTGTATTACTCTGGAAAACTCTATGTTTGAAAAAAATGCTGTCTGTCAACGTCAATTTGTAGGAGAGAAAATCAATTACGACTAACAATAGTTATAACATTCGTGATCTAAACATTGTCGCTACACATTTGGTGGGACATGTAATATACCAGACACCGGATGATTTGTGACACGATCAGCACAGGTTTAAAACTACAACTTTTATATCGATTTGATTCTATAGAGTAAAATTTAAACAAACGAACACGATGAACTGAACATCCATCAAACACTCATTAGGTGAAAGTGGTACATGATAGGAGAGATGTAAAATATTTATGATGTCAATAAAATGCATATAATTCGAATTCGGTGCATCCTATCCAACCGTATAATCGACGGCAATATTTACAGTTAACGTAGCTTAAACATACTGCTGATTAGATTTCAACGGGGAAACACGAGTTGATTGCTGGTAACGAATCGTTTGCAATAGAGATTTATAAAAAAAAGTTAGTGACATCAGATCATGGGGAAAGAGGTATTACTATATTATTGTATCGCTATGCTTAAAGGTATTTAAAACGAGGTATTTTCCTTGTCATTTACTATCGTGGGATAAATCAACAAGTCAAAATATCAACAGTAAGGTAGAATCATTTATAAGGATGCTGTTGACTTGTCAGTATTTTGTTGTTGGTTTTTGATAAATCGTTTTGAAATGTTCGTAGTACACGAGGACTTACAAAACCAGATTTTGACATTGTTTAAGATCGCTTTTGATTTGCCTCGCTAGGTTCCTATGTTTCCCTATCATATCATCTGTCTTCTCCTGTCCTTACCGTGGTCAGTGAGGGACTGGTTTAAGATTCAGTCACAAAACTTATTGATAAATCGTAGGTTGTGCGACTGAATCAGGCTACCATATGCTGCGGTAGGAAGGGTCTGAGCGCCGAGACATTCTCTTTTAACTATGGTCGAGAGCTCGCATGCTGTTGAAACCTGCAAATGAGTGAGATTGCTGGCGATAGCATCGTTCCCAAAAAAACCTGTGTTATTTGCATGTCATGTCGCCATTGGTTTTACTATTTCCAAGATTACGACATCCATGATAACGTGATGACAACTAACGACAGAATCTACAAAAAAATCATGAAAATACCAACATGGCAACATAATCATCATTCAAAGTCGAATTCCTTAAAACTAGGGCAAAATATGAACAAAAGAAAGATTTACACGGAGACTCCTGAAAAATCCCCAGAAGAATAAGACCAGGTGTTCGGAAGAGTAAGCGTCTCCTGCTTCATTGACAACACCCGCCATGTAAACATTGGTCAATGTAAGTAAGTAATGTCACGTTCTCAAATGAGAACAAGGTATTCAACAACTGAACAAACAAGCAAACTACCGATCATTGAATACGTCCAGCTTCATGTCACACAAAGATATAGAATATTTCTCAATGTTGAAAAGATCGAGATAAGCAGCTTATGTAGAAGAGTCTGTTGTATCTACGATGGGTGTAATCAGTAAATTTCTTGTCATTTAATGACAAGACGTCATCATTATATCTGAAGGTGAAATTAAATGACCTTGCGAGGTGTTTGCGACCTGTTTTGATAAGGTCTTCAATAAATTCATCATCGTACGAAAACTAAATCAAGTCAGTCAACAGAGAGGTGCAGTTGGTTCCCCTAGGTATGCCAATAGTCTGTTGAAAGATCCTATCACAAAACTCGACGAAGATGTTGTCAACCAAAAACTCATTTTTATTATTTCATATATCTGCTCTATACTACCGTATGGCTACAGTTCATTACTTAATGTAGGCACCATTGGTTTAGTAATCGACCTACTCACTTGTTTGTAAGTTAAAGACAATCGAGTAAATGTTGTTCCATTGCTTTGTTTGTGTCGTAAACATCTGGTGATTCAGTAGTCTGTTGCGATTTTTTCCGATTTTTTGTCCGTCTATATTACGTATGAACTGATAACCAAAGCCTTTTTTGACGTTCTCCAATTCATGTGTGGCATTGCTGCTGCGGAATTAATACCATATAACTAATTGCAATATCCCCAAATGTGCTGTTATCGATATGATTCATGCTGCACCTTCATAAACAGATGGATTTTAATCTTTTAACTCTTCATCTAGATCTTCTGAGGTCCGCTAAAAAATGCTTGAACTTTTAATTCTTATGAAAAACAATCATAAAATGTCAACAACAAAATGGTTTATTGTGGATTATCACCCAGTATGCCAGTGACATTTTATCTTCGAACGAGAGGATTTTAATTTTTTTTTTGTGTTATTGTTTTTGTCATCCCAATACTGTTAAAACGAGTCCTACATCTGTGAATGCTGTTGATACATTGTACCATTTGGACAATACAATTACAATATTCAGTGCTCACGTAAATATGTTTGATTGAAGGTTCATATTAAAAAAGATTATTTTATTTTATTTGAAATGTCGGTAAGTGCGTATTAGCTTGAACTCAGTTTGTGACTATGCGACATGTTTTTTGTGTCCAGGATATAGCATTTCATTGGGATTGCACTTAAAATGCATATTCCAATCCTCCTATCATCCTTTGTCACCGCCTTCATACAACCCTGGTTGTTGAGAGACATACGTTTAAAACAAAGACGGCTTTTGACAATATTTTGTCGTTGTATTTATTTATTATAGAATATATAATGACACTCTTCCGTCGAACGAGACGGCTCTCCTTCCTCTTTATATCCTCAAAATAACAATTAGACTACTTCATCACTTTTCGCTTAGTAACCATTTTACACAATTACCACAAGAATGCCTATAAAATTCCGGTGCCTTACTACTACAGAGTCAGGAATGTCTTCGCCCAATTACAGAGTCAGGGAGGGAGCTTTCGTCTTAATAATCCATCCTATAATCATCATTAGTTAAGATCGACGACATTGGCAGTTTCTCTGTATCATATCATTGCATCAAAGATTTCTAGAATACTTACACCATAAGATATGACGTCAGTCAATTACTTCCGTTTTATGTTATTCATGTTATAAATTTGACACCGGAACAAAGTAGTTCTATAGGGAACTTCATGGTTCAATATCCATTGATAATTAACTTAGGCTCCATCGGGAACTTCATGGTTCAATATTTATTAATAACTGAGTCAGGTTCCATCGAGAACTTTATGGTTTAATGTTTATGAATCAGGAGCTTAATAGTTCATAAAAAAAAACAAGAAAATAACAACATGTAAATGCAATCATAATCTAAACTGAAGTTCTAAAATGCTCAGGCAATATGTAAAAAAAATGAAAGTGTGGATACTTCAGAAGAACTACAAGAAGGATAAGATTAGGTGTTCTGGAAGAGAAATCGTTTTACGATTCGTCGACAAAACCCGCAATGTTCATCTTGATGTTCATTTATAATTGAACCAGGCTCCATCGGGGACTTCATGGATCAGTATTCATTTATAACTGAGCCAGGCTCCATCGGGAACTTCATGGCTCAGTATTCATTTATAATTGAACCAGGCTCCATCGGGAACTTCATGGCTCAGTATTCATTAATAATTGAGCCAGGCTCTATCAGGAACTTTATGGTGCAGTATTCATGAATTATTGAGTAGGGCACTATCGGGATTAAATCGTGAAATATTAAAAATAACTAAATCAAAGTTTAAGTCATGTTGATGGTATTTTGGTCATCATTGGATGTCTGTTAACCACAAACAAACAAATACAGAAAACGAATCGTCATTCAAAACAGGAAAACAAAGCAAAACAAAAATTATTCTGTTCAGCCTTTTATAATTAATAACTAATGGTACATGTTTCAGGGGGAAAGTTTTATAGATTTTACGATTCCTAAGATTGAGCACATTCTTAAAATTAACCGTACCGTATTGGTCATTACTGACACATTAACCTCTGACTATGCAAAGTTTATCCTATCTTATCTTAAATATTGTGTGATAGTAACCAGACCGTTCTAGCTATAGAAATGTCACCAGCACAGCAGTTGTTTGCTAGTGTTGTAGGGGTTACGCTTTGTTTTTCTATAACATGCGTAAATGCTAAAGAAAAGCGAATATTGCTAACTGATTCGAACGACCTTCAACAGCAGCTCAACAATATACAGGCGACACTGCAGCAGTTTGAAGTCGTCAAATCCCATGTCGGTGCGCTTCACTCACAACTTACAGCCCAAGACGCACTCATAAAATTACTCATGGCGAAAAATCAAGACCTTGAATCTAAGATTGAAAACGGTGTGTTTGTGTTTGTCGCTGAATTACAGTCATCATAAGTAGTAACTATAGGTTTGTATTTTCCATCATTTTTTGATAAACGAAATTATTAATATCATTTCGCAGGTGCGGCTTCTGCGAAGGGCACTATTTACATACGCTGGGGACGGAAAGATTGTAATGGAAACGGAACAGAACTTGTTTATTCAGGTATATACTGGGCTTATTTTATAACATGGATATGGAATATCAAATAACTTGATTTATGATATAGAACGACTGGTATGACATGTTATATACATTGTTTGTTGGAATTATCTCTCGTGAACAGCAAGTCATTTTGAGACGAGGGTCTCCTAGTAGTGGTTTGTGGCTGCCACACTGAACTTAATACAGGAAACCTATCCAAAGCAATTAAGGTAACTGTCCTTGTCCTTGCCTAATTGATCGCGTGATAGCGTAAACATACACACTTTGAAACGGATGAGCTTATTTTACTGTGTCATAAATGTTTATTTTTCGGTTGTCAGAGTACATCCGCGATCCATATATTCCCGCTGTAATTATTTTGTTAATAGCTGGTGATGTACCAAGTGAAAACATTCTAAGTTGACGAAACGAAGTTTCATATTTTTCACCTTTATGAAAGTGTATGTTGACATTATATGTATTGCTGAAAAAAAATCTATATCGAATTCAAAACTCATCATTGATGGCTTCACTTAACCTTTTCGTGGAGACAGAAATACCTTTAGAGAGTGTGTTGCAATATATTTCTGTTTGTTCAGCAAAGAAATTATTTGGAATTTTGAAATGAGGAAAACTATCTGAACCAAGATCAAATTCCATTTATGAAATATAATATCAAATATAACGATTACATGTGGTATGATTGTTAACTTTCAAAATGATATTAGAGGTTATCTTTATGATATGCGCTTTCATTTAAGCATTAAATATTGCCTTTGACGATTTCATTGGGTGATGAATTGCAAAATTACCTGAGAGATTAGTTTTGATGCAATATTTAAAGGGGAACAGAGTAGGGACTTGTTGAACTACCCACGAAAAAACATTTACACACAAATTATTTATATTTCATTTTGATTGTCCTTGTCATGGCTTCGAAATACCACAATTTTACTATGATATCTTTTTCGTAATTTCCACTATAAAGAAACCTCCTATCTGTTACGAGGCTCTTTGCATTCTGATGGCCCTCCTTCCATAACGATTCCGTTTTATGTTTATGACGTCATTCACGTCACTGTATAAGTATCGAATTAAAAGAAAATATAATATCAAATATAACGAGTACATGTGATATGATTGTTAACTTTCAGAATGATATTAGAGGTTATCTTTATGATATGCGCTTTCATTTAAGCATTAAATATTGCCTTTGACGATTTCATTGGGTGATGAATTGCTCTGGGGTTAACTTTAATTACCTGCGGCCAGAGAGAATGCTACGTCTTGGAGTCAATCCAACTTGATGCAGCACATATAATTAAAGGGGAACAGAGTACAGAGAATCTGGTCTTGTTGAACTACCCACGAAAAAACATTTACACACAAATGTTGCATTCTTTAAGATATTTCATTTTGATTGTCCTTGTCATGGCTTCGAAACGTTCCATCCATATCACAATATTTACTATGATATCTTTTTCGTGATGATAGATTGTTTGATGTTCCACTATAAAGAAACCTCCTATCTGTTACGAGGCTCTTTGCACAACTTCTGTCGGTATGGAATAATCTTTCCAGTCAGTTTCCCAAAATGACATCCATTAGAGCTCTTAAAAACAGGTTTGTTTTCTATTCAACCTCATGCAAGTGACCAACAACATTTCCCAGATATCTGTATATACCATAGAGTCAGGAGAGTTGATACTATTTTATCACAGGTATTTCGCAAGGTACCGTTCTTAACCCTCTAGTTTTTCCTTATGATATTTCATATGAACTCTTCTCCTTATCCAGTTATTAGACTATAGATCAACGGGATCTTAAATTATGTGAAAATTACGGGAAAATACGCTGTGACTTCTGCTTGTGTGTATACACCTGTAAGCAAATGGATGATTCTATAAACGTGTGGTTTCACCTGTATACCTTTCGCAATTGTTTTGTCCTATCTATTAACCATACTCATCGTAACTGTTAGGCCTCACCTGACACCAGAATATCTGTTATTTACAAGTACAATGGGTTTAGGGATATCGCTGCATTTTTTTTTTTTTTTTCAAAATTACATTTGCAGGTATCGTCAGTACAGTATCAAAGCGGTGCAAAGACTAAAACTGATTCTTGTTTAAAATCCTTTCGCCGTAAACACTTATGCCAGACTAAACGATCTTCGCGAAAAAAGGAGAAAGTTCTCCCCACTTTGGAAATACGGGAAACCCCTGAGGAAGAAAACAACAGAATCAAGCTGGGCATGTGGTCCCGTCAATGGAACTCAATTATAAGAGGAATACAAGGCCACTGAAGGAAACCATAGGGTCACAGAGAAGACTGCACTGAAATTCTTCATAGATCCATTAGAATTTAACACTTGGTTGTAGCCTAAAGAACATCAATAATTTTTGTAACAAGAAGTACAGTCTTTTAAATATTTTCTTTATAGATTTGTATTTATTTGTATTAACAATTTTTCCGTCATTGAATTTTCAGGGTTTTTTCAGAGTAATCCATCTCTTCATGCTATCATTAATGTCCAGCTGATTGTATATAAGTATAGAATTGCTTTTCTCCGTATGTGTGTTAATGACAATTTTTACATTATGCTTGTGATGAGAGCGTAGGGAGACGACCTAATCACAATCATTGTATTTCTCAGAATGTTCTTTTGTTATGTAGGTTTTGCTGGCGGATCTTTTTATACCCATTCTGGAGCTGCTTCCGATTACATTTGCCTGCCTCCCGACCCGACGTGGGGGCCACACAAGGACATGAGAGAATTCCTGCCGTCTCTGATGTACGGGGCAGAGTACGAGGACACTGATTTATTCGGCATGCCAAATAGAAATGAAGAAGTCCCTTGTGCCGTGTGTCGAACGTCTGCCCACTCTACGTCAATTATGATTCCAGCCCGGACTGAGTGTTACCCGGGATGGGTGGAGGCATACCATGGAAATCTGGCCGGGAATTATTTCGGTAACATTGCCGGTGGGGAGTACGTGTGTGTTGATGCGGATCCAGTTGCGTTGGTGGGTGGAGATAATGTCAATGATGACGGGAAGTTATTTTTCCAGGTGAGAACGAGATGTGGATCGCTGAAATGTCCACCCTATGAAAACAACAAGGTCTTATCATGTGTTGTTTGTTTAAAATAGATAAACATAGGATTACAAAACTTTAAGTAAATCTTTTATCTTATGAGGCAGCGGTGACGCACTCGCCTTTCACCAAGACGTCCAGGGTTCGATTCCTGGAACAGACCTGAAATGGTATGGCAATACTAGCTTTGTTCTGCCCACTCAAATGAGGAAAGTCATAGATTCTGTCCTCTGGGTGAAACCAAAGTCTATCAACAAGGGTGAAATGAGAACGGGCTGCGTTGGATTAACTTTCTGAGTGGGTTAAGTCCATTTGGTCCATCATTCGTGAAAGAATTTACAGCTTGAAATCTAAAACAAAAAAACAAAAACAAGAACAGGTTAGCTTTCCTCTATCTTGATATTAAATGCACACTTCAAGATTTACATTACAGGTATGGTATTGTGCCTGCAGATAAGGCGTCCAATAACTTGATCTTTGTCTGCAAACATCATTACGTTCCTTCATACAAAAGAAAACTGGGTTTGCTTGATAACGAAGGAAACCATACCTATATATTGTATTTTTTCAAAATAATGTATAATTATGCTTCGGTATTACGATTATTTATATTACCTATTAATGATAACGATACGGACCTCCTCGGTTTATGTTGGATTCCTAAACTTCAGAAGAATACTAACCCTCTTCTACAAATTCCTCTTAGAACATTTGATTTTTCCACCTTGTACACCACCTTACCCCATTCTAAACTAAAAGAACGCCTTCGTTCTCTTGTACTTTTATTGAGGTTGGATTATGCTTATGTTGACATGTTGGTATTTTCGAGCGCTCTATGCTTGGTTCGCTATCCTTCACACTCAATTAGTGACTGGTTAGCCCGTTGTTAGTGTAATGTGCTCGAGTGGTGTGTCATGCTTCTATGACAAAGTGCAATGTCATGTTACCGTCACAGAGTGCGGTGTCATGCTAATGTGTTACAATGACACTTCAGTGTGGCTGCACTACAATTTCTTGGTCAATCATGCATGGAAATCTTCATGTGATCTTTGCTGTGGTGGTGACTTAATCACCTAACAGAGTTGACTCTAGAACACTGGCAATGCCATTCCATCAACCCTACTGAATTTTAAAACCAATGTGGTTTTTTACTTACTACTTAATAAATGTAAAGATTTTAACGTTATGTTTTGATGTTTCAAGACTGACATATATACAGCTAATTTTACTCCTCTACAGGTAGATTTCGTTATTATTTTTAAGATGTGCCATTAAGTTCATTGTTTATAAACCGATCTCATGTATCTGTTCTGATGGCATTTTTTTTATTAATTTCAATTCAAACTTCATCTGTACGTACCTGTTTATCTATTTTAAATTTTAGTGATTTCATATCTTCAGTCAAGTAAGCGGCTATGGCTGTTGTGAGAATCTTAAGTTTTACATTCGATAAAAAGATATTTTCATCTGGGAGGACTCTTCCTAACTCATTTTTCATCTTCCTAAGAGGTAGATAGGTAAATAATCGCAAAATTTGGAAAATAGAAACTGTACCGTTATAGACTCGTGACGTTAACAGATAGACCATGTGTTTGCGAGCGCGTCAAACGGAGAATATAGTTTTGCAAACTAGAGAAAGGCTGCATACATATATAAACACCCCATCAAATAGTTTCATATACAGAGCAAACTTATTAACATACGCACAGTCAACATTTGACAGTCAGGAATCCATGAGTAATAAAACGCTTAGAGAGACCCTTCCGACAGACAAATCGGGTGGTATTAAATCGGGAGGCAGGTTAGACAATCCATGACCTGGACATAGACAGTCAGATCACACACTGTTCCGGTCATTAGAAGCTGTCTATTGTTGAGCCGTCCTGATATAAATGATCCGAATACGTCAGCTGTTTGCGAATTCATATGTCTCTGGTGATGAACAAATTGAAAGGTTTGTTTTACATTTATATCATATATATATCTACAATCTACAATTTGCATTTCAAGCTGTAGTCGAGAGGTATCATTGTATTTATTTAACATGTATTCCTACACTTCGTCCTACCTTCTGGTTACGTCATTGATAAAAGCCCCGTGATTTTGAAAACCGAGACAGTCTTACTATTTCCAGTAAAGTTTTCTTGATAACATGTTGACTCGAATTGTATTGGCACATTCTATCGATGACTATTTATTCGACTTTGTAGATGTTTAAGTTTTGTTTGTAAACTATTCCAATTTATATCGACTCTGTTGGGGAGGGATTTTTTTTACTTTGAGATTATATCCTCCAGTTCTAATTTTAAAGTCCATTTTATTCAAAACAGAACCTTTCGCTGTTAATCAATGTTCTGGTATCCTTTATCAATATTCTCGTTTTCCTTAAACGTTACATACTGTATTCAAGTCTGAACGAGCATATTTCACAAGTTATAATTATCTTTAAGTTAAGGACCATGAATTTCATTATGAACATTTTAATCAAATGTATTTTTCCTTTTGCAAAAATGAAACTTGTGGGTGTCCCTGCACTGTCTCCTTTTGTGTTTGGTGCCGTATGTCATCAAGCGGTACACACAACTTAACGATAACCCGATCAAACCGAGGGTGCCCCATACTCTAACAAAACATGTTTGTTTTTGCCACGATAAGCAGCGTTTGTACTTGTATTACAAGTAAATCATACACGTATTCATGCTGTAATCAAAGGTGGCAGGTCGAAAATTGAAAAATGACAGACTATTGGAATGGGTTGAGGCGGTACGATAAACAGGCAAGTAGTTGTACTTTTCATTTCAGCCATTCTGTTATGTATCGTTCAGCTTTTTAACTAAGAATGACATGTTGACGAGCGTCTCATGTCTGGAAGACCTCTAAAGACATAAGATAGAGAAGATAGACAGGAAAGGCAAACCCCATTCACCACTGCCAAAAGCCTCAGAAAAGTATGTGACATCATTGTTCGCATTAGCCGACGTACCGTCAACAGGCATTTGAAGAACAGTAAAACGTCATCTGTTAACCAGAGACACAAACAACCACAACTACAATGGGCACATAATCACCAGACAAGGAGTATCGAACATTGGCTTAAAGTCCACTGGTCTGATGAAAACCGTTGTTTACTTAATTTAAAAGACGACAGGACAGGATCCATGTTTTGAGACCCTAGAAATACGACACACCATCATTAACATATTCTAGGCACATCAGCATTTGGTGGCTATGCTACTGATACAAAACAAAATCTAAACGAGTCAACAACACAAGGGCTATATAACACATGGGTTTTAACAACAGTAATGATGAAATTGCACAAGTGGGAGAGGCAAAATATTCTAATTCAACAAGCAAAATGTTGTTAGAGTAGCTGAAAATGGCCATGAGTAAGGGAACATCCGCATGTTACATTGGACTTAAATTGTTCGCTGTATTAAAGAGTCTAAAGAAACTATAAACAGACAGAAGCATTACAATAAATCTAGCGTCACGTTTGAACATTTAATGGATACTTTACAGAGAATATTAAGTGCCCATCATGTTCGAACTACGTTATCGTTATATTCGTTTCCTCTCTCTGTGCTACGAAAGCTTCGAGTGGATTCGGCTAATACTGCTTCTTGTGACTTGTGGAAACAAGCTTCGGAACCCCGTAAAATTATAGATGTTGTTGCACAAATCAGACTTTTAAAACCTGTCCGTACAGATGGCCGCGATCCTCCAACAATTTATGAAAGTTGAGTTTGTAAATAAGTGAGTTGATGCAATAAACATCAGCAAAATTTTGCACCAGAATTCTGTTCAAACTAACATTCCACCATAGTTTCAATGTAGAAACACCTCTGTAGGTTCCGACAGTGAATGTAAGCCAATAGCATCTAAACTTGTCAACTGCAAACAAAAGCTGCAGCAACTAACTGTAGATGACCTTAGTACTCCGTCCCGTCAGTTTGTTCTTGTTCGACCTCTTCTTGTAACTATGGTCCTACTGAACACATAGCACCTGGTGATTTAACCATTATTCAAAATGCTGAGCTGCGACAGCTTTTCATGAAGGGTCCTTAATATCGTGAATCCCTTTCCGTTAATTGGAATATGAATTTCAAGATACTTATGGCTTCTGTTGAAAACTATGCAAGAGCCAGGAAACAGTGTAACGAGAACATGCTGCGTGGGATTCACTTTTTGAGTGGCTTTAGTCGATTCAGTCCATCAAAAGAATTTGCAGTTTAAAATCAAGCATAAAAGCAAAACACATTTCATCTTTCCACGATCCCGATGTTAAATCTGCACTTCAAGATTTACATGACAGGCATGTTATTGTTCCTGCAGATAAGGCGTCCAATGAATTGATCCTTGTCTGCAAACATTGTTACATTTTCTGTATACAAAAAGAACTGGGCTTGCTTGATAACAAAGGAAACCCCTATATATTATACAATATTTCAAATGACAGAATACTAGGTCATTATACTTTTGTATAACAATCATTTAGACTATTAATGATAAGGTTACGGACCTCTCCCGTTTAAATTGGATTCCTAAACTTTACAAAAATCTATATTAAAAACGTTTTATTGTTGGCTGGTCTAGCTTTTCAGCCAAGCCTCTGTCAAAACTACTTACTGCTATTTTAAGGACTAGCAAAGCTGGGTTACAGTCTTTTTGTGATACTGTTTATTCAAGAAGTGGAATGAATAGCATGCGGATTTTGAAGAAATCCATGGAGCTTTCGACCAACACTCTCCTCTAAAAACAATTCTTCTAAGAACATTGATTTTCCCACCCTGTCCACCATCGTACCCCATTCTAAACTGAAGAAACGCCTTCTTTCTCTTGTTATGAGAGCTTTCTTCTCCAAGAAAGGTGAACGGCGGTGTAAATATATGGTTGTAAACTATACTGCAGTGTATTTCGTAAAAATAATATGTCCAAATATGAGGAGGACGAAATCATTAAGATGATCAAGTTCCCGGCTGGCAACACCTTCGTCAAATTTGGTGGCGAGCTCTTCCAACAGATTATTGGCATATCTATGGGAACTAACGGCACC